AGTGTCCCCTCTGATCCTTGTCCACCACTGAAAACTACTACGATGGACACATGAGCACCAGAAGTCAACCAGAAAATGATGGTCTGTACATGTCACTGTGCATGTTGGATGTTGCACACACGCCTGCTATTTTTTCTACTTTTTTCCTACTTCTAGCTTCTTATTTAACTTTATTGTTTGGCTCTTTAGAATTGAAGCAATTTCCCTTCATGGATCAATAAAGTATTTCTGATTAAGATTCTGATTCATGAAGGTGGCCAGGTCCAATGCATCACATTTTCTTTCACATCATGTGGGTGGCTGAATGCACTGTTTATCTGGGGGAGAGATGGCATCAGGATCCACTGGGGGAACAAGGTGCTGGTGGAGGCACTGTGATGCTCTGAGCAATGTTATCATGGGAACCTTTGAGAACTGCATTCATGTGGATGTTATTTTGACACATGCAGTCGAACATACCTAAACACTGAAACAGACCACATACAGCACTTCATGGCAACAGCATTCCAAACAGGAATGGTTTGCGGAACCTGACTAAGACTCCAACACAGCCCCACTGAGCATCAGCTCCATGGTTAAAACCAGTTTTTCCAGTTACGACATCTCGCTAAGATGAAGACTTATCTACCTTGAAAGACCTGGAAAAAGTCTTTCATGCCTTTATCACAACTCAGCTGGATAACTGTAGTTCTTTGTATGTGGGTGTGGAACAGTGATCTCTTTAGCATGTGCAGCTGGTACAAATGCTCATTTTTTAAGAAGAAAAATAAAACGTGATTACATAACACCAGTATTAGTGCCCCTCCACTAGCTTCCCGTCTCTTTCTGGATTGATTTTAAGATTAGAAGATAAGGTTTTAAATGAGTTGGCACCTCCTCATTTTGCAGAACTCTTACATCTTCATACCCCAGACAGAGCACTGAATTGGAACAATCAGATGCTCAAGATTTTGACGCAAAAATGTTTTTGCAGGAACTGCACCTAAACTGTGGAACAGGTTGTCTCTTCATGTAAGAACTGCTGAGACTTGAGAAACTTTGAGGTAACTACTGAAGACTTTCTTATTCTTACTTCTTGCCATTTGCGATTGTACCGCATTTTGATTCAACGCTTGTTGTTTAAATGTGATTTATTAATAAAGCTGAACTGACTTGATCCGTTGGACATACTGGAGAGACAAGGCCAATCCATGGAGGTACCACTCACAACTTCAAGAACTTAAAGGATCTGTTGCTAACAGAATGCCTTCAGAGGTTTGTGGAGTTTAGACCTCGACGGTTCAGAGCTGTTTTGCGAGACGAATACCTAAACAATGTCGGGAAAATGGTTTTAATGTGATGGCTGGGAAATAAGTATCTCTTCTTTAAATAATCAAGTATTTGTATTAGTATTTACAGCTGTCTCGAAATAATAAAAATGTACCAGCGAATAAAGGGTCTATTAGCTGGGAACCTTCATCAGTCTCTCTGACATTTATTATTTGTTTAAGTGTAGGTGACAATGTACTAAACATCATCACCTGGATCTCATAATAATGACAGCAGAGTCACAGTCATGTTCATCGCATAATTTACTGCCAACACCCTTCAACACATGTGCTAATGGTTGTGTTTAATGTTGAAGTGATGGTGATAAACGCCTGAGGGCTGTGAGCCTGGTTACCCCGATGAATCATGGCTTTCTTTCTTTTCAAAAACTTTGTTCTAATGAATAAATGAATGTATGAATGTATTTAAATGCAGACACGTCACGGCAGCACCATGCAAACTTTTTAAAGGTCGACAAAAGAATGAGACAAAAGATAGTGTTCCTCATTAAAATTAAGCTAAAATTCCTCACTGTAAACTCTCAAAGCTTTTTGAGGTTAACTGAAATCAAAAATGTATTTGTTACAGTCTTTCATAAAGCAGTCAGCATCATCAGCAAACATAAAAACTGCATGACAGCAGAGTTTACGGCTTGAAACCTGTTAACTCTTAGAGCCCGAGGAATGCACTCTGCTTCCAAATTCCAAAGGCCTCTTCTCTGTTGAATTGCTCTTAAAGTATTCATTGCAGCGAGGTGCAACACATGTTAAATTGCATGACTTGACCTTTCCAGCAGTTCCAGTTGTTTGTCCATGAGAAGAAATGTTGCTATAAAAAAATCCCACACTTGAATGATGTGTAATCGTGGTTGCACCCTGCATACAGGCCTGGGGAAATCTCCACACCCATTACTCAGGTTTTAATTACTCATGAGCTCGTCATTGCGCAGATATACTCAATTACTGCATAGTGAACATATTTATACAATGAAATGTCATCATCATGTTGCAAGAAGGAGAAGAACCAAGCGTGTGCCTGGTTTGCCGGGCTGTTGGATGGAAGCACTTCACTGGATAAAATGATTTATTTATGTTTGACACGAAGAAAAGATTTTTCCGAATTTGTAAGTCATACAGCAAACTCTCACCTGCACAACTATAGAAAGATATCTCTACCGTCAGTTTCATAACATACATTTTTTTCCCTCTTGGTATAAAAGACAATATGAAAAATTTGCAACAGCCCAGAAGGTTTTTTGTTTGTTTGTTTGTTTTGTTTTGTTTTTAATGCAGCATATATTGTTAGCACTTATTAAGACAGATAAGAGCTAAAGTAGGGAAGTTACCCTCATTATAACCCTACAGAACAGACAAATTGAAAACAAGCAAAAAACTAAATTTGTCTTATTCACACAGGGTTAAAAGGATTAATGTAATTGAAAAACAACAACTAAAAAGCAGGAACCTACAGATACTTGCAGATGTACAAGAAAAGGGTACGGTCATTAAATACAGAGTCAGGTTGATCGCTGACCTAAAAATTGCACGGCAACATAAAGGCACACGTGTGTTCAAGCAGCAGGAGCGATATTAAAACACAAAAAGCCGATGAGCCATGACAGTTACACAAAAGAACAAAGATTATCATAATTGAGATACTAATCCTGCATCATAGCACACTCAGCTTGTTAACATGGAAAGAATCAGCGGAACATTTCTAGTGATTGGGGTTTAGCCATCAATCCTTTAATTAAAGATGCCTCAGCAGCATCACACACCCTCATGAACCACGTCTGCTGAGCTTGATTGCAGCTGCTGCCTGGCAACTACTAAAATTAAAAGACACACTCTCACGCACACAATTAAAAAACACAACGACAACTGTTTCGGGACAGACTCAGGTCATGTAGACGCTGTTACCAAGTGAAATGCAAAAAGCAAGTTGCTTAGGCGTCTAAATGTTGATGATGGTGCTGATATTATGACCTCTGTTTAGTCTCACACTCACTTCTGTGACAATTTTATTTAATGATATTTCTTATGTCTTATATTACATACAAAGTTCACTCTCTGATCCAAGTTTCCTACAGGTCAGCTGTTCAGATTTAGATTCACTTTATTGTCATTGCAACGAGTACAACGAAAATTAAGGTGCAGGCCTTTCAGTGTAAAAAAATATAAACATTTTGTAAGCAACTATATACAACAGATATATATATATATAAACTCTTTATAAAAAGATTTAATTAGATAATAATCAGAGTGGATATTGCACAGAGTGGATATTGCACACAGGTAGTGGCAGTTGCACTTTAACAATATATTGCACTTATTACGCTAAAGAGGCATTTATGGCTCTGACAGCAGTTGGAGAGAAGCTGTGTTTCAGTCTATTAGTCCTGGTTCTGATGGCCCTGGACCGTCTGC